CTCGAATTGAACAATCAAGTCACAAGGTAAACCTTTAAATATACTTGAACAATTACCCATATAACTGTCAACACATGCAACGAACAAATCACTACTAAACTACAAACAATACCAATCAACTCAGACTATTCGTAACCAAGGCAAATAAGCAAACAAAACATAAAATTTGACATGCTTTCTAAGCAAAACTATCTGTATATGCTTGTGGCATTCATTCATTAATTATCAACATTGTAACAGTTTTTCAAATTTAAAACCAGTTGAAAAAAATTATGTGAGTAAAGCCTCAAATTCAGGGTAAGAGCTAAATAGTTCCGCTTAGAATAATAGGGATTGTATTTCACTGTATTCTAATGTACAATATACACTATATATAGACAATAACAAAACCCAATACACAAGCATATTATAGGAAATATATATATTAAGAAATGCCCCCACAAACTGACGGTAGATAAGAGAGAAGCCGAAGTTTGTCCTGGAAGCGAAGGAATAAATCCTATGATAAGGGCTTGGTCAGAATGTCAGCAATCTCATTAGCAACAGATATTGAGTGTACCGAAACAAACTTCCGCCGAACATGATCTCGAACATAGTGAAAATCTACCTCAACATGTATGGTATGGAGATGGAATACGGGATTAGCAGCAAGAAAAACTGCGCTACCGTTGTCACACCACACAGAGGGAGAACGACACAATGAAACACCTAACTCAGACAACAGATGACATACCCAATGCAGCTCAACACATTCATTAGCACTCACACAAAACTTAGCCTAAGCAAACAAGTGAGCCACAGTGGGGTATTTTCGAGATGCCTAGGCAATGAGATTAGGTCCCAAATAGAGGAGAAAATTAGTAGTAGAAAGACGTTCATCTAAACAACTAGCCTAGTAAGCATCACTAAAGGCAGTAAGACTACCCAAATAAGTGCGATGCAGAACCAAACAGGAATTAATAGTGCCACGAAGAAAGCAAAGGACCCGTTTGAGAGCATGAAAATAAGAAGTGTAGATGCATGAACTGACAAAGCTTATTACCCACAATAGATATCTGGTCGGGTGAGAGTGGTATACTGCAGACTATCACAAAGCCGGCGATAGGTAGTCACATCATCAGGAGACAACAGAGTACCATCCAACGGGACAACACAACACCAGCCTGCATAGGATTATAAATAGGCTTGCAAGTATGCATATTGGCATGCCACAGTAAATCAGTAATATACTTGCGCTAAGAGAGGAGCAAACCCTGGGATGTGAGACGAACCTTGACACTGAGAAAGTAACTCAAAAGACCCAAATCCTGAAGATAAAACTCCTTAGCAAGACAAGAAATAAAATTCTGAACCAAACTAGAAGTGCTGCCCGTAATAATAATGTGATCCACATATACTACCAGAAAACACAACTGAGAACCACAGTGATATACGAAGAGGGAAAGATCACAACAAGACTCCACAAATCCCAAGCTGACCAGAAATGCAACCAACCGGGAACACCAGGCCCGAGGAGTTTGCTTAAGCCGATATAAGGACTTATGCAGCTTACACACATAATGAGGGCGCACTGGATAAACAAAACCCTAAGGCTGAACCATATAGATAGTTTCACTCAGAACACCATTAAGAAAGGCATTACTGATATCAAACTGAGAAATCAACCACCCACGAGCCAAGACGACTGTCAAAACCGAGCAAATAATGACCTGCTTAACAACCGGACTAAAAGTGTCTGTGTAATCAACCCCAAAAGACTGAGTAAAGCCTTGAGCCACCACACGAGCCTTATATGGCTCAATGGAACCATCAACATGGTTCTTAATCTTATAAAGCCATCGATTTCTGACAACATTGCCGGAAGGAGGGGGAACTAAGGTCCAGGTGTTGTGTTTGAGGAGGGCAGAGATTTCATCCTTCATGGAATTTTGCCACTAAAGAATAGACTTGGCTTGAGTGAAACATGTAGGAGCAACAATCAGAAGTGGTGAAACAGAGGCAAGATGAGCCGAGGGATCAAAGATTTTCTTGGGCTTAGGGTTAGGACGAGTGCCATTGAATGAGGGCAAGAAGAAAAAGGAGGAGGTGGCAGAGGGGAACTGGACTCAGATGATGTAGAGTTGGATGCAGGAGAACTAGGTAAAGATGCCGGCGAAACGGAAGGACTAGGAGAACTAGGTAAAGAGGCCATGGAAATGGGAGAAATAGGAGGAGAAGCAACGGGTGCAGGATTTGATGCATGCACATCAGGTGAAATGGTTATACACAACCAAGGGCTTGCAGAGGACTCCAGTAGTGAAGATGGAGAATTAGAGATGGGATGTTTAAACGGAAAGAGTTGCTCGCCAAACTCGACATGACGAGCAACATTAAGACGATTATTCACCACATCAAAGAAGCGATAACCGAGATGAGACGGAGAATACCGAAGAAAAAGACACTGAGAAGAGCGAAAAGAGAATTTATGCCTATCATATGGGTGAAGAAGAGCATAGATAGCACAACCAAAAATGCGACGAAAAGTATAATCAGGTGGCTGGTGATATAGTGTAGTAAAGGATATTTGACCATGAAGAGGTTTACTAGAGGTTGCGATTAATCAAGAACACAACAGTTTCAAAGGCAAAGACTCAAAACCAAAAAGGATTACAAGAATGACCAAGGAGAGCAAGGCCAATGTCAACAATGTTAAGAATTTTGCGCTCAGCAGTGCCATTATGCTCATGAGTGTGAGGGCATAATAGACGATGAGCAATACCTACATCTTAAAAAACGAATTTAGGGAAAAAATTCACCACTCCAATCAAGGTTGACACTTTTAATAGTGGTGCCAAATTGGTTTTCTACGTCAGCTTTGAACTGCTTAAAAACATGAAAAACATCACTTTTATGCTTAATGGGATAAATCCATGTGAATAAAAAAAAATCATCAATAGAAAGCACAAAGTAGAGATAGCTATTAAAGGACAAAATAGGAGCAGGATCCCAAGCATCTGTGTGGAAATTAAATCAAGAGAACTATGACGAAACGTAGAAGGAGAACTAATCCTAGGCAACTTTCTTAGACAACACATCTCACATTTATCAGTAGACGTGGACATAGAGGAATGAGGGAGTTGAAACTACTAAACCAAAGAAAGAAGAATGACATTATTAGGGTGCTCTTTATGAGGAAACCATTAACCTAAACAAATGAAGTAAGCTGCCGGAGAAAAGGAACCACGAGCAAGGAGATTCAACCGATAGAGGTCATTATCAGCCCGACCTCCGAAGAGCAGTTCCTTGGTTGATACATCCTTAACACAACAGGAGCCAGAATAAAATTCAAAGAACATTGATTATTCCCAGTGAACACCAAAAACGATTATCCAAAATCTGGACTGATTTACAAAAAAGTCCTACTGAATTTCCCACCGTCTAAAAAAGTGACAATTGGAAATTTAATTTTCCCAATTTGTTGAGATTAACCCAACTAAAAATTATTTCTTAGAAACCCTGATTTATGCAATTGTTCTTCAAAAACTTCTTCACAGTAAGAATCCGCTTTAGTACCTTCCGATATTTGATCGTTAATCTCCATGCCGAAAACCAATATGTACTTGAGCATTTAACTGGAAGAAGTGTTTCTTTTTCTATGTAATTTAATCTGACTCCCTCTCTCATCTCTAAACAAACCCTCCAATAATTATGCTTCTTTCATATACAGTAATTTACATATTGATAATCTTGAGTTAGAAGAAACATTGAATCGAACTAATTTCATCAACGATTTCACTGTCAAAAAAATCTTGTTGTTTCTCTTCTAGTTTCCTAACAATAACTCCATACTCAAAGAACCAAACAAAAGAAATCTATTCGAAACTAACTTAACCATTTATAATATTGAGGAGAAGACGAATCGAGGTATTTTACCACAAGAGTTGAACCCGTAAGAAAGAAACATCACATATGAAAAATTAACCAAAAAACTTTACCTTGATTTGACGACTTAATTTTCAACGGAAATTCGTTGAATTTCCGGCGATTTCCAATCCTTGCTTTATGAAAATTAGGGCTTTCATTGGGTGCAGTGGGAGTAATTAGGAGGAGGAGAAAGGTGGCGATGAAGGAAGAGAATGAGGAGGAAGTCATGGCAGGTGAACGGTAGGTGATAGAGAGTATCCTTGGGGGTCATAAAAGGACAAGATAGTCTTTTACATCATCGTAAAACATCAATTGTAATTAAGAGATTTATTAGAAGAATGAAATATAGTGATACCCTCAAGAATAATTTTGATCTTTCCTATGCGCTTTTTCAAAATTTTCCAAAAAGAAAAAGGGCTACTGCAGGACCTCACGCGTTAAAAATGAAATAGGAGTCTCTATTGTAGGGAAATGAAAGTGGATGGCCTCTTTGCGCAATAAACTCAAAACTTTTAGTGATTAACGAAGTTTATTTTATTTTTTCCACTTGTAAAATTATATTGGCTGGTGAAACCGGAAAATCTTGTAGTCGGTTGTGACTGTGCAGAATTGGAAAATCATTTAGTATGTCGTGGATCAAGTCTCTATAAATAGGATGGTAACTTCAATACATAATTTATCACACGGAAAACAAAAAGAAAAAACAAGAAGATAAAAGGGCCTAAGAGCTGTGTCCACTGCAAGACTACGTAAAGCTTCAGTCAGAAAGTGAAGGTGAGAATTTTTTTTTTCCAGACTATTTTACTGGGGATGGATGGAGTATTTGTTTTGCCATTATGCGACACTAATAACAGGATTTAAATCTTGTGGCATTACTGAAAACGTTTTGGTTTTCAATTCGTTTTGATTTTTTGATAATCAAACAATTGCTTTTTGAATCTGTTGAGTTGATCAATAAGAGTTATTGTTTTTTTATTATTGTAGAAACGCCTCCAAATAACCTAGTTTTATTTTGCTCATTGTTTCCAGGTTTAATTTAATTGATTACTTCCTACGGAATCAGTTCATGATGTATTCGTCTTTCAACAAGAAGCATTATGAGTACTCACACTACCTCCGCAAATACCAAACAAAAACCAACTTTTACTGAAATTGGCAAAGCCGATCATCCTAGAGAAACAAAAGGTGGAGAACAATGTCAACTCTATATTTTCGCCGTTGACATTCCTCGTTGTACTGGGCATGATGGCAGCTGAGTCTGATACGAACCGACATAATCCTACCTTACCTCAAGTCTAACTCCATTGATGAACTCAATTAGGTTTGTTCTTTGCTTGTCAATTTTATACTGCTCGACGAAAGCCTCACGGGTGGCCCTATCTTGTCAACTGCTAACGGAATTTGGAGCGATTTGCCTCCGCATCCCAATTACCCTAACCTTTTGGAAAGTGTTTACAAAGCTCAATTTCATCTAGCCGATTTCGTCAACAAGGTCAGTTTAATTAAATGATTTGTATTTGTACACTACTACGGATTTTGGCAACTAACAAAATACATATTATAATGACATGTATATTTCCAGGCCGACGAGGTGACTCGAGAAGTGAACGAATGGGTTGGAAAAGAAACAGAAGGACTTGTAAATAACATTCTTCCGCATGGCGTTGTTAATAAATACACAAGGTTGATTCTCGCAAACGCTCTCTATTTCAACGGGGTATGGGAAAACAAGTTCAATGCCTCGTTGACAACAGAGCGCGACTTTTACCTTTTAAATGGCGAGACAATCAAAGCCGAGTTCATGACCAGCAAGGATGATCAACGTATAAGTGAATATGACGGTTTCAAGGTGTTGCGCCTTGAATACAGAAACGGAAATGATTGGGATAGATTCTTCTCCATGAACAAATATCTCCCCAATGCCGTAGATGGGTTGTCAGGTTTGGTGAACAAAATTAGCTCCGATCCTGAATTCCCAGAGCGTCACAAGGCCCGTTCACCGGTTCGGGTTGACTGTTTGCTTATTCCAAAGTTCAACATCTCATTTGGATTTGAGGCTTCAGAGATTTTAAAGGATACGGGCTTGGTTTTCCCTCCTCCCGAGCCCAGATTTTTCCACAAATCCTTTATTGAAGTGAATGAAGAAGGAACAGAAGCTGCTGGTGCAACTGTTGCTGTGGATGATTATGAAGACGATGGTCCTCCACCTAGGCCAAAGAAGATAGTAAACTTTGTTGCCGATCATCCATTCATTTTCTTCATCAAAGAAGAAGTGAGTGGCGTGGTTCTATTCATGGGTATCGTACTTAATCCTATTATTTTTTGAGGATAAATTATTGGATGATGGATGTACTTAATAGCTTACTTCATTTAAATGGTCTATTTCTAAATTAGGAGTTTAGGACAAAATTTGGTGCGCTCTGTATTACTTATTTTGGCATGAAGGGATTTGTTTTTTTTTTTTAAAATTTTTTTTTTGTTTTATCAAGATGTTTTCGTACATTGAAACAATTTGAGAGTTTGCACCAAGTTTCGAATAGAGGCAGTTTCGATTTTTTTTTTTCTTTTTAAATGTACATTTGTAGATGACATAAATATGACCAGCTAAACAGTTTCTAACCAAGTTTAATAGTCTAAAGCTGAGGAAAAAGCCTTAGAAACTACAGTAGAACGTTCGATAACTTAATAACTTCTAGCAATTAATAATTTTCTCCGGTCCCAACTTGGGACCAGTACAAAAAGTGACAAAATCGATAAAATGAGAAGATAATAATATTTTAGAAAATCCCCTATAGGTCCCAGCAATATTGTAAATTAAAATACCTTAAATGTCAAAAAAAAAAAAACTAATATCTAGGAAGATTTAGTAAAATATGAGCTTATTGATACTTGTTTTTTCTTGAAATTTAAATCCAATGAAGTTTCATCCTTGATTCGTCTCATTACCCTTGAGAGCTCTGATGTTGTATTCTCAAATTGCAACGAGAAATTTTGAAGAGTTATTGCTGATTTGAGTGCTGCTTTTCGTGTGACTGATGCCAAAGGCACTGAATCATCATCATCTTCATCCTCAATTGAATTGTCTTCAAGGTCACTAGCCACAATATCCTCAAATGATTTGACCTCTGTAGATTCATCATTTTTACCTGGATAATCCACCAACTGATTGACACTCATCTTATTAGGTTTGAGTTTATTGTTAATAAGAGTTACATTCCTTGTTTAAGATTGTAAAGAAACAATGAAAAATTAGGTAGTATAGTAGGGTTGACAAAATTCTTTAAATTAATAAATTTATTAATTTATCGATTATTTAATAATTGGCTAAATTAATAAAATTTGATAGTCTAAATACTATTAATTTATTGAAGTTCTACTGTAATAGATGTAGTTTTCTAGCCTTTCCTCCGTGTGGTAGAATAAAATACACTAAGACGAGAGTTCTACACTTTTTTGTCTTTTTCCCCCTAAAGAGTAACTGAAGCAACTGAAGTTGAATTCCAGGGTACCGATGCTTCAAACAGGAAGCATTCCATCCCATTAAAATAAATCATTTATTACTAATTGGACACCTACAAGAATTCAATAACTCGTCGAAATTAAGTACTTTTATTAATTGCACAACTCATGTAATTACACAATGCATGTTGCCAATGGTAAATCATGTAAAAAAACTAATATATTAACAGTATGATTAAATTTCTGATGAAAACAGTACTATTTCATTAAATGATATGTGTCGAAACAGTACTATTGCATGAATTTTCCCTTCACAAAAACTGATAATTTTTTGTTCAGATGTCAAGAGACATTTGGTAAGGACTAAGCGAATAGGGCATCCAGTGAAATGAAGAGGAAAGAGAGCTATTCGAAACTTTTTCAGTAGGAATAGCGGGAGCTAAAACATCGGCCATAAGATAAGGGCGGAGAAGGCTCTTCGGTGAGGAAATTAAGGGGATATTTGCTATTTTGAGAATTATTTAAACTAGGGAAAATTTACAGTAAATTAAGCTAGTCAAAACTCCTAGAATAAAATGTATTGGGCCCTCTTTTTTTAGGGTCATGGTTTCCCACACATTGACAAAATTTCACATATGGGTGAAGAAGGAACCAAGAGAAACGGGGTAATGCTAATTGACTTAGTGACGTTAGTTGAAGCCTACAACGTTTGGATTTGACCAACTCAACAGATCAACTCAACAGATCAAGTTTTATCTGGTTGGGCCAAAAGCAGGAACCAGGGAAGTTGTGTCAATTTTACCAGTTTTTCCCGAAATGATAAAACGCGCCCTAGAAAATGGAACTTTTTGGGTGCCAGCTCTAAATGTGGTTGTCCAACAACTTCTTCGCGTCACTAATCCGTTTGCATTACAAGTTCAATTTAGACGGTGAAACAATTTCAATTACAAATTTAACCGATCAATTTCTGAATGCTCAAATTGATCTTGTACAAGAATATATCAAAGGAGGAATGACACGTTATTTGGTCGCTGGAACACCTTTATTATATGATGTGCCTTCCCTGGGTTAGGACATATGCTCTTATCTGACATACTACCTTCTAGTAAGAAGTTATGGTTTAATAAATGTACTTTGCCGATATATAGATGCTTGTTATTATTACTACAGTTGTGCATAATGCACAATCAGAATCTCCTATATTCATAAAGCACGCACAAAATAAGACTTCTGGCGTGTCCTAATTTTAAAGCACAAATTAATATTACTAAAGTTAGTTCAAACTTGTGTCTTGTAATTAAGAACAGAAGGAGCACAATAAGCACATCTCTAAGGTCATGTCATTCACTCATTAGTTACTAGATTTTGCTATCGCAATTATGTTTCAAATTCAAATCTGGCATATGTAGAGATGCAGATTAAACTAGAGATTAATTATGGATACGCATATCAGTTCGTGGTTATACCTAAATATCGTCGAACACCACAAACCATTATGCAAAGTCTAGACAGATTCAGTAAGGATGGCAATAAAACAGATGGTGGCCGCTTTTCTTGATGAATTCGAACTAAACAAATAACAAACTCATTATGCTTAACTAAGAGTTGCAATTCTTACAAAACATCAACTATATAAGATTAAAGTTCCGAAAACCTTCATCTCAAACTCCTTCAGTTGCTGGCGGACAGCTTCGGTTAGTTCAACCGAAGGTCTCTTCTCCTTCACAAACTGGTAGCTCTGATCAAATCCCCATCCTTTGCTTTTCATCAAGTAAGCAATCACGACGGCCGGAGACCGGTTCTTCCCGGACATACAGTGCACGAGAACGCGGGCTCTTTCCGCCTCGCATTGTTCTAAGAACTGAATCGCATCTTCAAAGGGCAACTTTTGGTCCTCGGGATCTTGAAGACCATGATACGTGAAAGTGGATAAATACAAATTTTGACAAGATGGAACCGTATTGAGAAGATGAGAAATCCCTTGCATCTTTAGGAATTCGGCGCGGGCGGCGTTGTCGTAGCTGCCCAGATAGAGAAACTCCGGCAGGATCTCGGAGGGAAAAACACTTGACGATGAGTTTCCGCCGCCGGCCGCCGCCACCGGCATATGGTGGCCGCAAACGCCGCAGACTTCTCCTTCTTCGTACTTGTGGTAATGCCCACAGACGTCGCATGGATTATCTCGGTCTCTTCTTTTCCCCATGTTTTTCCAACTGATGGATGAGATGGGAGGAGGACAAAAGAGTCGGCTTAGGGTTTTTTTTCCATAAATTTGGGAATACGGAATTTTGAGTATGTAGGATGGGGAAGTAAGGTGATCTTGTGGCTTTATGTAGAAGAAGAATTTTGAGGCAAATATATATAGAAGAAAAATTTTGCCGATTCCTAATTGGGTTTTGGATCTTTATATAGAGAGATCCAATTATATTTGTGGTGCTGAACAGGTTTGGAAGTATTTTCTATTTTTATTCGTTTTATATATAGATTTCATAGTCCTTTTGGTTTTTGTTTTTCTTTCTTCTATATTGTTGCATATTTTTATATCGTTTGAGATCACATCAACATGATCAATTATCATACGATACACAACTGACTAGAAGATTTACTCGTTAGTGTGTACAATTTAAAATAAGCAATCATCAAAAAAAAAAAAAAAGGAACAAAAAACCATGGATTCCAAAGAGTCAGCTCCTTATAGTAGAGATAATAAATATTGCAATATCCGCATGGAAAATTCTACGGTCAAAATCAAACCAATTGAAATTTGACATGTCAAAATTAATAATATAGTAAAAAGTATGTTAACACATCCTTAGCAGTAGCTAAACATGTTGTAGAGGATGGTTTCGTTTTTTTTTTTTTTTTTTCAATGAAACGAAAATACGCAAGATGGAAATTTAAAGAGAGAATTCATATTTCTATTTTCTTTTCCTTAAGAAAATTGATTCCTCCCGGTCTTCGTCTTATCCTTCTTCTTTTCTGTTTTTTTTTAATTTATTTAATCAACTTATTCCATATTTTATTGGAGAATTAGGCTTCCATCGTTGAGCCTTTCCCCTCTATTAATTACACAATTTTTATTTATTTATCTATTTATTTGCTTATAACACCAATTCCTCTGTTCTCTATACGTACTTCAATGTGTAACGCCATTTCAATGAATTGTCAGATTGAACAAATTAATTTGTTTATTCCTTTTGTTATTTACCGTTCCATGTATACTTTCCCACAACTTCAAAAAGAAAAGAGAAGCCAAACAAATGTTGAATCTAAGCACGTACCACATACCCTGTTCCTTTTAAGTATAAAGATAGAGAAAGATATAGGAAGGAAGAATGTTGTTTTGGTTTTATTTTTCCCGGAATTTGTTGGGTAAGCAGAAATTACGTTTTAATTAGGAAAACTTTGATGTTTACAAATAAAGTACACATTTTTTCCCACTAGTAATCGGAACAACAAGTTTCCAGTAGTTGGTAAATTATTTATTGTAATAGAGCATATTTTCTTTCGAAACACATATACATATATATATATATATATATTTTAGAGTATGATATTCTTCTCTACAAATATAACTCTACCTACATGTCTATCTAGTTGGTATTCCACATCATTTCTCTCATATAATTTTTTATTTTTACTAAAAAATAAAATCTATTTATGTTTTTTTTTTTTCTTTGTACTATAAAGTAAAATAAATTTCAACCGAAGCTTCCAAGTTTCATCCACTTTTCTTTCCCCTTTTCACCTCTGCGTAGCACCCTCAAACAAAAAAAAAAAAAAAAAAGAAAAAATTAGATTCCCTTCACCAATTGAGAACCAAATTCTTCGCCCACGTGTGACTTAGATAATCTTGCCAAAATTTAGGTTAATTGCCGAAGTATAATAGGAGATTGGACAAAGAAGGATTCAGTTTCAAGGTAAAGCTGAAGTACTTATGGGCACATTCCATGAATGAAGATTGAAGATGTCCAATTCAATGAAGAATAAATGAAGTTAGAAATTATGCACTTCTCCAGGTTCAGAAGAGTGTGTTCTTTAATTTGTGATTTTTTTTATTATGTATCGTGGTTATGATTATTCTGTCATGTATCCTGGATAAGCTTGTTTCAAAGCTTGATCCATAGCTTGTAATTTCCGTTTCTTGAATTCACATCGTTATTCACTCAGTTCTTATGCTACATAGTAAATCTCAAAGTCGTGCCTAATTAGCTCCATTAAGTAATTTAATACCACGAAATAAATTGGCCGAATACTTTTCAACCTTGAAAGGGAGCAGTATATTCTGATGCATACTATTTCTCATTTTTATAGATGCAAGTTAGAAGAAAAACTATAAGGAATGATGTATCAATCATCTAAATTATACTCTAACCTTAAATGCATAAATTCCATATGAAAAATTTAAAAATGAATGGATGTGATCATTTTTATCATATTTCCTTATAATTTTTTTTTCCTGCATACATATTGTTCTTTTTACTTTTTGTGCTTTAAATAAATACAATTGAAATATCGATAAAGTACTTCCCTTGTCCTACAAAAAAAATAGTATACGTTGTAGTTTGCAAATCTTATATATTAAAAGAGAAATGAATCGGGAGAAATGTCACATTATTAAGTGTAGATTAAAAAAACCAAATACATGTCATGTAGTTAAGTGTAGTCCATTTTTTAATGTAATTAAATTAATTCAATTAATTATCTTTATTATTTAAACTATGTTAAACATATCTTACCCCTTTTAAAATAAAAAAATTGAAAATCATGTAATTTCCTTAATCTTCACGGAAGTAGTGGGACATATTTTATACGAGATAAATATTCCCTTATTTCATTCAATTCCTTAATTTATCATGAAAACTGAAAATTAAAAACAAAAGATATCATTTCTTATCATAATAATCAGTGTAATCGACAAAAATATTTCGTAACTTAATTCATTTGCTATCAATTTTGTTCAATTACATATCATCAATTCCGTACTTTAAATGTTTTTGCTCCTCCTTTTTTATAGCACTCGCGTAACGCGTGAGGCAACTACTAGTTTTACTAAAAAGTTATACACACCACAAGAAAAAAGGCCTCTTATTACATAAAAAAATGCCTCATATATATGTTATTGAGGTATTAGACTTATAATGGCATTGTTTAATTGTGTAGTACATACTCATATCATGATAGGTTAAGTATGTTGGTGTGACACTTATATGTGCCTTTATAGAATCAAGGTTTTACTATAAGTTTTTACTTAGCTCATCTACACTGACACTTGCTATTGCTAGTAACTGTTCTCCATTTTTAATTTTATTTATTATTGGTAATAAACTGAAATTTCACATTTTTTAATTTAACGAGGTGCAAAAGAAAATAGATAACAACACACTTTCATATAAACCATTCTTTGAATCCAAAAATCTTTACAAAACATATATATCAGGAAGAAGTACGAATCTCCACTATAAAAAATCATGCGAATTAGCTCTTCGATTGTAAAAAAGAATCTAAAACTAAAGACTTAATATGCTGAATCCTAATCTATTTGAAACTAGAGAGCATCTAATCTTTGGCTGTGGAACTTCAACCTAGGACTCCCTTCCAACCTATGTTTTTGAAACTCGAATATGTAACTTCCTTCCAATGTTTGTCCAAACAAGATTACCAGCAACAATCAGTTTTGTTTCCTTAGTAGTATAAACTCATGTTTCGTTGTATATATCCTCAGAGATAGAGTCAGAGCAGGTTTTGGGAGGTACTTTCACCTGAAAATGCACTTTGTTACAACCAGAAAATGTCTGGTAAATTCATAAATCTAAACACAAAACACCTTACATGTTAACAACTCATTGGAAGGGTAGGTGCATCAAGAGTGAAAAAAGTTTATCTCCCAATGCAGCCATAGATATAGCAACTAGCATGTGGTGCAAGAAATATGATTCCTTTTGCAGTTAGCATCGAGTAGTTCTGGATTTCTGGTACATGACAATATACAGGCCAAACAACATCTGTATATGCACAATCTAGGAACTTGAAGCAAAATTCAGATATTTTGGAACAAAACCTTTTATCATAGAAGAAATTGAAATGATCCAATGCCATTCTATACATTAATACTAGTCCCTCATTCCTTTTAATAACACCCCAATGTTCAAAAAACACAATAGAAGAAATCACATTATCATCATTTTCAAATTATTTGGATATATGTTGCTCTAACAAAACTAACAGTTAAGTCATCTCAAATAATAAATTGAAGACAATTCAAGTGTGCTGGGAACAGACTTAGGAACGCATTTAATACCTGAGTAATGAAACTATAGAAACAAACCTCTTGAACATTAGAATAGCAATTGTTGTTAGTCCCACCAAGAACTTTACAAATTAATAAACTATCCACATGTGAGAGCTCCTCTGCAAAGTCTAAATTAGGTCCGTAAATTGGGAACATGAAATAATCATAAACAGCAATATATAATCATTTCATTTGAATGGCTATAAGAAAACCCAGGAATTAAGACACAACAGAACCTTTCATGTAAATTGAGTGGAGAACATACCATGGACACAACTCTTCCCCAAACTAAAGACGCTATGCAGAGTTGAGAAAATGTAGCCTGATTAGCATGATCAAGACTAATTGCAATAAAATCGGTATCCTTTAAAGGACAAGCGCACATAATTTTAAAAGTGAAATCGCCAAAATCTACTTTGTGACCCTAATTTCAATCATAAGTCCTCTTCTCTGTTCCTAATGGTGTAAAGTCTAGCAAAGTTATCGTCATCAACAATGCCCGTCTTCACAAAATCGGGAACTTCCAACTCATCCTCAACAGATTTCTCCGACTCAAATCTTGAAGCAAACTATTAAGCAGTTTCCCCTAATGCAGAGATTCTCAAATATTATTCGGTGATTAACAGATTAGTTTGGTTGTAGCAACTGAAGTTAATTTCATTCGAATAAAACCAGTTATAGTCGAAGATTGGGTACTCATTCCTCTTCCAGAAATAGACGAAATAAAACGTTATCATCAGCATTGGAAGAAGCCAAAAGCTTATCGACACTGCATCTAAGGAGAAATAGAGACATGAATATCACAAGCTTATTGAAAAACTTTTAAGTATCTTTCATGGAAAGAAAAATCATAAAATTTCAGACAAAAGAACAAATCCAAATCATAGAATTTAACCTGATGATGTATTGGA